TTCACTTTAGTTGTTTCTCAGCACAATAATATCTTCACTTTATGCTCTGGTTTTTTTTATCCGGTACGTTTTGTTTTTTTTACATAGAAACCTTTTTTATTTTCAGGTCTATGATTTATTTTTATGGGAACACTCGCGATTATCTTTTATTTCATTTCGATATTTTTTACAGCGCGGGCCCCACGTTGAGCGCCAATTACAAATACGATACCGAATGTATTTAAAACAAGAGAGAACGCTATAGTCGGGTGCCCCGACTATCAGATACCCGTTACTCAGGTAAAGGAAGTGCGAGGGAGATGGAGATAGAAACTTTGATCACGCATAACTTTTTAACGAATGGTCCGATTTGAAAAATTTCTTCAACATTTCGATAGGTATTGATAAACACAATAAAACTGCATTTTTACTTTTCCGAAATATTTAAATTGTTAAAATCGTATATAAGCGATTGTGGGCGTTAAAGGGGGCGTGGCACCTTTTTGAAACAAACTTGCGCTGCGTAGGAACTCCTAGAATCTGCATGCAAAATGCCAATCTTCTAGCTTTTATAGTTTCCGAGATCTCAGCGTTCATACGGACAGACAGACAGACAGACAGACGGACAGACAGACGGACAGACGGACATGGCTATATCGACTCGGCTAGTGACCCTGATCAAGAATATATATACTTTATAGGGTCGGAAACGCTTCCTTCTAGCTGTTACATACTTTTGCACGAATACAATATACCCTTTTACTCTACGAGTAACGGGTATAAAAATATAATTTTTATTAGATAAACTTCACTTAGACTTAGAATACAATCATTCTTAGACTTATTTCACGACTGCCCAAGCTTGAGTTGGTTCTCTTCCCTTGTTGCCTCGGGATCGAAGCTTTTAAAGTTTATCTTCGTAATTTTCCGAAGTCTTGGTTTCCGAAGCTAATTCCCGATTAAGATTGCTGTGATCAGCATGGAAAATTTGGAAGCGAACGCGATGCCTAAAAAGAGGGTTCGCGGTGTTGGGATTCTAACGGATGTTTAGTCTAAAGTTTGGCTGGCCTTTGGCGGCTAGCTAGGGGAAATTTGTTTACGTCTGTCTCAAGCTTGGCTCGCCGTTTGCGAGGGTGGAAATGTTTATAAGATAAGAACCCGTGAGAACTCAGTAGCAAGCTCTGCCAAAATAAATTGTTTACGATATTAATTAGAATCTTTAATTAAAGTTATAGTTAATTTGCATTCCATTGTGACAACGAGCATGATCCATGGCCCTTGCGGAGTCCACAACCCAGAATCAATGCTAGCAGCGAAGAATAAGGACGTAGATAGTTTGAATTTCGTTACTCAAAGTCAAATCGCTGGAGAACTGCATTCATACAGATCCGTTGACAGCGTGACCAACGAGGATGAAGCGACCAACTGTCCAACAGAATTTTTTAACTCACTGGATGTGTCAGGAACTCCGCCGCATAATTTGCAACTGATTATAATGCTGCTTAATCTAAATCATCCGAGATTATGCAACGGTACGCGGTTGTCCGTTAAAAAACTGATGATCAACGTGATTCATGCGACGATTATTAAGGGCAAATTTAAAGGAGAATTTCGAATTTCGATTATTCCAACAGATCTTCCATTCCAATTCAAGAGGATTCAGTTCCCAGTTCGATTGGCATTTGCGATGACAATCAATAAATCGCAATGCCAATCGTTGGATGTCTGCGGGATTAATCTGGAATATCAATGTTTTTCACATGGGCAATTATACGTAGCCTGTTCGCGTGTGGGAAAGCCGTCATCATTATTTATTTTTGCACCGAATAACAAAACAAAAAATATTGTTTATCACATCGCTCTCCACTGATTTCGAGTCAAATAAATTTTTATGAAATTTGAATTACCAGTGTTTTATTATTACTCTTGGGTTATATGAAGTCGTGAAATTGGGGCGAGACAAAGTTCGCCGGGTGCTCTAGTAAAGTATATATGTTCTTGTCAGGATCAATATCAGAGTCGATAAAGCCATGCTCGACTGACCGTCCGTCCGTCTATTTCCATATATACAGTCAGCACAAAATTTATTCGGACACTGTCTATTATCAAGTTTAACAGCTTATTTGCAGGAATTTTCGTAATTTTAGCAGGTTTTTTTGTACGTATCATAGAAACAGTGATTTTCAGAAGACATTTCACAAACAAAAATTTAATTTTTTAAATTAGCCTTAAAAATATTGAAAGAAAAGCAAAAAAATTGCTAAAATGTTGCACAAAAATTATTCGTACATTTCTCATTTATTGTGTTTATTTCTGAACTCAACGGTAATCGGTGATTCTTTTTAAAGTAGTTTAGTTGAAATTACTTCGGAGTAATTTTCTGCATGCTTTTTTTTTTGTTTATTGTTAGTTTTTATGTGTTTTTTTGATGCGATTGGTCAAAATGGAAGGAGTTCAAGATTTGTCACTAGATTTTCGAAAATCTATCTTAAATTAATTTTTGGAAAATCGTAGTTATTGCGAAATCGGTCGTATTATTGGAAAATCACCTTCCACAATACATAGTATAATCAAAAAATACTTAAAAACGGAATAATGAGCTTCAAATCACAAGAAAGCTTGAAGGTCTAAGATTCTGTATTCACGTGAGGGACTGAAATTTATGTTTATAGTCCTGAAAAATCCGAAAACAACATCTACAACAATTCAAAAGAATGTAGAGCAAGCGAAAATAAAAGAAGTTTGGGCCCAAACCGTCCGAAACTACCTGTACAAAGCTGGTTTACATGGCAGAGTTGCTCGTCGAAAGCAATTAATTTCTGCCATCAACAAAAAAAGCGTTTGGAGTTCGGAAAACGGCATATAACCACCCTGATTCGTTTTGGGAGAACGTAGTTTTTAGCGACGAATCCAAATTCTATATATTTGGACACTATGGGCCCTCGAAAGTGTGGAGGAAACCAAATGAAGCCATGAATGAGAAGAACTTAATTCCAACTGTTTAGCATGGTGGCGGGAATGTAATGATTTGGGGGTGTGTATCGGCAGGAGAAGTCGGTCAAATGGTCAAATGGTTATTGACGACAAAATTAATAAGAATATGTACAAAAACATTTTAAGCGAAAATTTGATTCCAAGTGATATAAAACTTGGTCTAGATCCGAAGACATTGTTGTTTCAACAAGACAACACTCTTCGTCTTTGGTGCAAGAGTGGCTTTTATATCACTGCAAGCAGCTGAAAACACCTTTCCAGTCACCTGATTTAAATCCCATAGAACATGTGTGAGATATTCTTGAGAAAAGGATTCGGAAGCACGTCATTTCGTCCAGGGAGTCCTTAAAAACTTCATTGATGGCTGAATGGGGTCAAATTAGCGCTAATGAGACAAGCAACTTGGTAAAAAGCATGGGTCGACGCTTACAAGCTGTCATTGATGTTAGTGGAGGACCCACCAAATATTAAAAATATTAAAACATCAAGAAATATGTTTTTTTTTAATATTATATGAAGTGTACGAATAATTTCTGTGCGTAAAATTGTGACTTTTCAAGTTCATTTAAGAAAATATCTCATTTTACTGTTGAAAGTACCTTATTTTTTTGTTAAAATATATTCTAAGAATGTTAGCCTTTACGATGAAATATAAATTGTTTGGTTTCGTTACGTTTTTGTTGAGTTATTAATGAATCAAATTGAAAATCACGGGTGTCCGAATAAATATTGTGTTGACTGTATTTTGCCACGCCCACTCTGCAAATCACCAAACACTTTAGAGACCTCGTTGAGGCCAGTTATTGGGCGGATTATGTCAAAACTAGCACTAAAGTACCTTTTTATGCAATATCTATCAACACTGTTCAATTTTTTCCGAATCGCACCATTGCTTAACAAACCTTTTAGAACATATTGAGTGTTAATTGTAACGTTATTGGATTTTTGAAAACGGGGTTCTATTTGAGAGAGCGGAAGAGAGCGAGAACACTGAAAGTGCAGGACGAGGGTGCTGCTCGCATATTTACACCCGTTACTCGTAGAGTAAAAGAGTATATTGTATTCGTGCAAAAGTATGTAACAGGTAGAAGGAAGCGTTTCCGACCCTATAAAGTATATATATTCTTGTTCAGGATCACTAGCCGAGTCGATCTAGCCATGTCCGTCTGTCCGTCTGTCTGTCCGTCCGTATGAGCGCTGAGATCTCGGAAACTATAAAAGCTAGAAGATTGGCATTTTGCATGCAGATTTTAGGAGTTCCTACGCAGCGCAAGTTTGTTTCAAAATGGTGCCACGCCCCCTCTGACGCCCACAAGCCACAAGCTGTGGCCACAGTTTTGATGCTATTATGAAAATTTTAATTGATATGTATTTGTTTCGTCAATACCTATCGATTGGCCTAATAAAAGTTTGCCACGCCCACTCTAACGCCCAAAAACTCATTAAACGCTTAAGCCTGGCTAGCGTCTACATTTCCGCCTTTCATGGCCAGTGGTACCAATGTCTTGGGGTAGATGGCGCAATACAATAGGCAAACAGAAAGAGCTACCACTTCTATAAATTCAATTTAATAAAATATAAAGGAAAATACCTTATTGTAAGCAGATTCGTTAATGCTATGTACAAATTATAAGACATATATGTCCTGTGGATGCCCTTGCTTAGTGCTTGCCATTTATTATAAACCATCTATTATTGCAAAGCATTAACCAAAACCACAGGATCCACAAAAGCATCAAATTATATTCGTATGGAAAACCAAAAAATATGCTTATACATTGTTGTGTTAATAAAGTGGTCTTTACCCTAAAATTTGTGTTTCTCACGTTATTTTGCTGTTCGGCAAAATCTAGAACAGAGTATATAATTGTAAGCCATATCGTTGTTAATATCCGAGAAAATGTTTACTTACTTGCTGTACAAGTGTATTTAATTATAAAAAGTTAATCTTCATTACCTTCATGTATTCTAAAAATATGGCGCAACTGAATTCTTATCTGATTTCTGAAAAAATATTCCAGGCAATATTATTGTGCGAAAAATGTATTCAAATTTTTAATAGCGTGTAATACAAACATCAAGAAGGTTATCTAATAAATCATCATTTCGAAACTGATATTGATCATCAATGTTTTCCACTAGTGGTCGGAAGTTAGTGTAATCATAATTAATTGTTATGTTGCATGGATGACAAGGACCCGATATATCAGATGTTATAATTTGGTCTTCTAATGTACATGCCAGCACAGGTGTCATATCGGAATATATATTTATATTATCGAATGCACTAAAATCGTCATCTCCGGAAATCTGCTGTAATTTATATAGTTTAAGTTAACAAAATTCGTATAATATATTAGCATCTTACCGTGTTGGTACTGTCCAACTTGTGGGATATGAAACAGTTTAAGTTTTGAGGCTCCGTTATTAAATCTCCAGCGCTAAATTTAATTTTTTCAAGCTCATACTTCTTTTGGAAAATGTCCTCGTTAATTGTGGTTCGTAACGGACAATTTTCAAATTGAATTCCATTTACCTCAGCGATAGAATCCTCAAAATTAACTTTTGTTGGAGTTGACGATAATTTTTTTAAGTGATTTGCTACTGATATTTCTGAGAAGTTATTTGCCCTAGCCATCTTAGCTAATCGTGAATAGTATGGTTGAGATAATTTCACATGCTCTTTTTCTGATAACGGCTCACCTTTTGTTACACTTGGTTGGGCATTATTTTGTGTTGTGAGTGAATAATGGTATTTAGCAGTCTGATTTAGTTTTGCATGACTTAGTTTTCTATTACGAATGCGTTTTCTTTCACACTTTTTTGGGTCAACCCCCAACTCCCAGTAACCGCCTTTGCCTTTTTCTTCTCTTTTTCGGTTGCGAAAGCAGTGGTGTAGTGATAAATTATGCCTTATGGAATTCTTTATAAAAAATGCATAATAATTATACAAATTTAAGGAATACAAATTTTTAAAGTACTTACATTCCATTTCTTTCGTACTCTGAAGAATGCAAATTTTGCCTCTATCCATGCGCATATTTGTTGTAAAGTTATGCGACCATTTTTAAGCATAGCCATCCCAATTATATGTGAATAGTTAAAAGGCGGTTTCTCAGTCACATCAGTTTCATACTTAGTTGCCAATTTTTCATATTCTGTTAAATCCCTATAAAGCATTTTGAATAACATATATTTGCGTTATACCATTATAGAGTGGAAAAATTGATATTTTAATTACCTTTTAACTTTGTTAACAAATATTTCAAAGCGTTCCGATGGAGTTGGTCGCTTTGCTATTGTTCTTTGTGCTTTAGACTCAAGAAATATTTTAGATTTTTTAACAGTATTCTCACTTCTTGTACAAATCAGTTGGACTTGGTTTCGTCGGATATTAGAGTTGTGAGGTACGGATTTTATATTACAACTTTCCTTTGTATTAGAATCTATCGTTTTTGGCCAAGCAACATTTTGATTTCGCAGAAGCCAGTTGAGGTTGGTTAGCTCTCGCTCTTCGTCGGAGTCCTCTGCTTCCCGAAGGGAAGGGTAGTCTTCTCTATTCGGAAGGTCTGTCATGACCTATTTTCGTTAAAAATAATAAAAATATTGTGTGATTTGATATTAACATATCTTAATAATATTGAGATCTTGGAAACCATAAATATTACGAGTTTTAATTTAAGAAAAAATGGGAGCTATAGGATATAGACGTCCGATCGGCACGTGCTTTTACCCAAATCAAGATATGCATAAAAAAATACGATTTGGAAAGATCATGTCAATAGCTTTTACACTGCGCGAAATATCATCAATTCTTGCAAGGTATATTGTACCTATGGGAGCTATAGGATATAGACGTCCGATTTTCAAACTTCATCTGCGTACACGTGCTTAAACTGAGCTCGCAAACGGTATTGAAACAGAATTATAATACCCTTAGCAAGGGTATAAAAAGAGATTGGTTTACAGAATGAAAAACCCTTGGTAAAATCGGTATATATAAGATTAGTCTGCATTTTATTTTTAAGTCCTTTAGTATAATATATGAAAGTACTTTACGGATTACAGACAATTTAGAAAATCCTCTTTAATTTTTAACATCCGACTTGCCTCCCTTTTTATGGAGTGGAATAATAAAAAATCTTTTCAGAAAGATGGGAAAACTATGGTGTAAAGAACCTAATAGTACAAACTTACGCACACATACAGGGCTTTTACCGGAAAAAATACAATTTGTTCTATTTAAGTATTTTTGAAGAACGTGGCAATTATATCTGCAATTTTAGAATCAGTAGGCACAATAATTGAGTTTAATCTGACTGTTACCCTGGCATTCACAAAATTATAAAACTGCTTAGGATCATTTTTAAATTCGGCTATACATGGATTCAAATACATAGAATAGCAATGACTGTTATGAACAATCTGATCGAGCCATGTATTATCTCTGACGTAAAACAGCTTAGTTAACAGTAATGACCATATAAGTATTAAAGTTGCTTGACAAATGTCTGAGTCGGATATTTCCGGTTTCAGCCAAGTTTCAGTAAAAGTTTAAACATGCTCATTAAAGGCAGGGGAGCTAGCATAAAGCTTCATATTTATTAGGTCCTCTAACATTTTGCTAGGCTTAGAATATATAAGTGTTCATAATATAATATATCAAGTTTAAGGCCGATTATGGAATCTCTGTCTCTTGGGAACGAATTATTTTATTATTAGTTCATTATCAGATCAAGAACTTTTACTATTTAAAACATAAAAAGCGTCTTGGGGAACAGATATTTTGAATGAGGATAATATACGAGTGATTTAAAATTTAAATTGTCCAACTGTAATATTCTGAGGTGGCTATTTTTCTTGAACACATTTCATAACATCATCAATTATGTCTTCTGGAGTAAATCGAGAAATAGAATTGAACTATTACCGGAAAATGAAAAAAAATACAATAAATAAAGATTTTTTTAAAAATTTATTTATAAAGTTTATTTTTACCCCGACCGAATTTTAAATATTTATTTATAAATAAGCAACCTGAAGTTTTACACATTTTTGTAACCGCTAAGGTAAAAATTGAGACTTTGGATATAATAAATATACATTTGTATATAAATAAATATTGGATATAAAATATATAATTTATTAAGCCATTAAGAAGCAGAGTCCATTAATAAAGAGAAATTATTAACCAATATTTTTAGTTTATAAAATATGTCAATAGGTCTTGTATATGAAACTAAAATGCATCTCCACAAAAATACAAGAAAACACACTCAAAGGAATCAAGTTTAATTCTTACAAATAATGTTTTTATTTAGATACATTTTACAGCTGGTCTAAAAAAGTATCAATATTTATATTAATCTTTTTTGGTTCTTGAACTTCTTCAAAGTTATTTTCAATTAAATGAAAAAAGTCATAAAATTGTATCAAAAAGTCATTATGATCTGGAATTAATCCTTTTCCTAGATCCGCCTCTTGAAAAGACCTAAAATGTCTGTCCCTAAAATATTTGTTTTCCGCTAACAAAACCTTGTGGATAATAAGGCATTGATTTTCAAATTTAAAATTTATTGCAAGGTACTACAAGGTATCATTCATTTTACCGACTCTAATCAAACGAACTTCACGTAACAAAAAAGTGTAGAGTCGGGAACAGAACAACACCAATTTGAATTGTGAGTTGAGACGATACAAAAGAAATCATTGGAATTGTTGTTGGCTTGGCTCGCTTCTCTTCTGTTACCGACTGCGCTACAAAGAACAATGGGAATATGTCAAAACTAGCACTAAAATACTTAATCAGTTAATATCTATTAACACTATCCTTTCCGAATCGCACCATTACATTATGAAGCATATTTGCATATTTAAAAACTGGATTCATACATTTGAGAGAGTTAAAGAATGGTGTTTGCCCTGCAGTTAGGCAGATAGCGCTTCCTAAAATTGATTTATTTTAAATTGGTTAGCTGAGTAAGGTATGTCATATAGCGTTTCACCTTGTATTATTTAGAAAACAAAAAACTCCTCTTTTAAAATTATTCCTCCTGAATCCCTTCTCCCGCAAGCATTAAATCCTGGACTTTGGCCAGAAGGCTCCAAAATAATAGTTCACAAATTCTACAAATCACAATATTTATTTTCTTTAAATACGTGAGAACCCCTCTCGACGAGGTGGAGGTCTCCTTTTTGCAGTAAAATCAGAATTATCTTTCCGTGCATTGACCATTTGGACCCCGACGATGTGACGTCTTATTGAATGCAACCTTTTTGTAACCGATTCCAAAACTCCGATTTGCAGAACCCTGCCACCATCAGGAATATCTCCTCCTCATCCGCTGATGATTTTGACCACCCAATTATATTGGGTGACTTAAATACCATACAATTATCTTGGTCAGCATGTGTCGATTTTACTGCATGTACGAATAATAACGATTTCGTGTTCGTATTGATTAATTGGCTAAATAATTCCATATCCAAGCAGCACTCAATTCATAGATCTTATTATTGTATCAGACTTTTCTCAAGACATTATACATCGCGCCACTCCGCTTTCCCTTCCAGGGGACCGTTATCATCCAACTTCATAAATTTCCAGGTATTATATGTTTCTAATACTCTTACGACACCTTTGCTACGTCGAATGTTTGACTCGGTTGATAACTCGCGAACAACAGCTTCCTTATCCAAAGATATCTGGATCTTTATCTAAAATTTCGCATTCTTTAGCTTATGAAACCTCTATCACCCCTCCGTGGTCATTTATAAAACTGTTAATACTGTATAAGAAGTTTGTATAGTTTTTCAAATCCAAATATTATCTGCAAAATTCAAAGTGATTTTATAATGATATTATCTCTAGTAACGGTGCAAAAACGAATCTCACAGCAATCCTTTGTTAACTCAAAACGCAAATACAATATGTTTTCGCCATCCCGTCAATGCAGACTTTTTAAATTCACCTATTCACCTTATTTAACTCATCTTAATTTCGATATACTCTTGGGTAATTTTAACGGCTGAGACACACTGACATTATATTTATTCCTCTAGTGTCATTTTCTTCAGACTCTAGATGCGATCTAAGGCACTGCCCAAACCACTTGCTTGTTTGTTAACTATGCTTTTTCAGTGAATAATAATAGTATACCACAAGATGGTTTCCTTGGATTATCCCAGTATTTCTGAAGTGAATGGTTCCGTCCCTCCAAACCAGATTCAAAATGACCAATACAATAGTATAAATTAACAAGAAAGGAAACTATCTTTGGGCGGAGACGAAGTGGATATACCCTTGCAGAATATTCTGAAAATGATATTCTCCAAAATCGGATCGGTTGGCCAAAAATAAAATCTATAAAAAATCCCAACTTCCTAACTTTAAAAACACCAATCGTTCAGTTATATGGCAGCTATAGAATATAGTGGGCCGATCCCGGACGTTCCGACTTATATACTGCGTGCAGAGGAACGAAGGGTGTGTGCAAAGTTTCAATTCGTTATATTTAAAACTGAGAGACTAGTTCGCGTAGAAACAGACAGACGGACAGATGGACATGCTTATATCAACTCAGGACGCGATCCTGATCAAGAATATATATAGTTTATAGGGTCGGAGATGTCTCCTTTACTGCGTTGCAAGCTTTTGACCAAAATTATAATACCCTCTGCAAGGGTGATCAAGGTATGCATAAAAAAACGATTTGGAAATATTCATGTCAAGGGTGATCAAGGTATGCATAAAAAAACGATTTGGTAATATTCATGTCAATAGCTTATACACTGCGCGAAATATTCTGAAAAACATCAAATTTGGACCGATATCACCCTATTGTTCCTATGGGAGCTATAGGATATAGACGTCCGATCGACACGCGCTTTTGGAAAGATTCATGACAATAGCTTTTACACTGTGCGAAATATCTTCAATTCTTGCAAGGTATATCCTATTGTTCCTATGGGAGCTCTAGGATATAGACGCTTTTCAAACTTGATCTGTGTACACATGTTTTAGGACGACTGTAGAAGTTTCAGAGCGCTTGCTTTTAAGCTGGGCTCGCAAACGGTATCCAAATAGCGTTAAACTGAAAGACTAAATTGAATAGAAAGCGAATTTCTAAGCTAGTTAAAAATTACTTTATCCTGAAAAATAAAATTTTTTCATTTTTTTTTGTTTTTGTTTTTTGATTTTCTTATGGGAGCTATATGATATAGATGTCCGATTTTAATTTAATTAAAACAGTAATTTTTTCCCGATTGTTTCTATGGGAGCCTTATGATATAGTCGTCCGATCCGATATACTCCCTGCAATAGAAAGACAGCTTTTGGGAAACTTTTGAGCAGATCGCTTTAAAACTGAGGGACATATTATCTTCATACCCTTGAATAGGTTTCAGCTTTGTTCAACGTAGTGATGGATATATTTAGGTCACTAAAACGTAAATATATTCTTAATCCGCATCACCGGATAAATCTTCTTGTCCGTCCGTTTCTAGACAAACAGGTTTATCAGTTTTGAGGCTATTTGGATAAAACTTTTTCCAATTGGAAAAATACATATATAAATTAATAAATATACATAAATAATATAAATAAATAAATTTATTGACTTTTTAAACAGCCATTAAATGAATAATTCGCAAATTAATAAAAAACTGTAGGAAAATCGAAATATCCTTTTTGATGTCTAGCATATACCCGTAAAACTCCAGATAAAAATGTAAAATTTGTACATAGAACACGACGACACACATTTTCGACACCTGCCCAAAAATAATATGTATTATAAAGTAGTGTATGAATTATCAACCTTTAAACTTATGAAATAGTCGAGCTTATTAAATAATTTTAATTACTAATATTGGCTCTGGAAAAGTGTTATGCAAGTAGAATACTATTAAGCTCATGGTTCTGGGTCAATTAAACGCCATCTTGAAAGAACTCATTTATCAGAACCGAAAGCATTTTCATTTGTGACTCACTAACTTTTACTATTTTATTAAAACACTTATTAAAACTATTCACTCCTATTTATACTTATCTGCTAGTCGATTTCAACGAATTTTATGTGTTATATTACTTTTAATTTCGACAGAAATCACTTTTATATTTAACTCCTTCGGACCAACTGCTTGAAGTGTACTGCACGGCTACTCTCTGCTGTTGCACCTGTGTCTCTGGTCTATAAGCAACCCTCATTTTTTACAATACCAAATAGTTGTAGGAGGTTAGGCTAGTTCTCTCGGCCTTATAGGGTCGAAGTGGACGCTGCTCATGTGGTCGAACGTTACCACCTGAGCCGTGTCCACGTCGAACTCGCTTTCGTTCTTAATTTGCTCGGCAGCAAATCCCGAGCCGACTATTTCCGACGAAATAACGTCCACAAATTTCGGAAAAGGTCACTGCAACAACCCTATTAAAGCAGACATTTAATTACCTTCAAGCTGGCCACATACAAAAACTATGTATATCCACCACTTTTTTGTCAAATTTCTCAATAATTTACATTTATATCATTATTACAATCTTGAATTGTAAATGTGACCATAATGTTATGTAAGTGTAAATCATAGGTTTAGTATTCAAATTAAATTTTATAAACTTTTTAACAGTCGAGTATTGCAGCAAATCTGATGTGATGGTATGATCGAAGCGAGTGATATTCCAAAAGAAAGGTATCTTGTTTAAGAGGTGTGCATAACAAGACAAAAGGAAAATCAATTGATTCAGGAAAAATAGCGAAGATAGTGAAAGTGAAACTTTAGATAATGAGTGCTCATGGAGACGGTTTTTTATACCCTTGCAGAGGGTATTATAATTTTGGTCAAAAGTGTGCAACGCAGTGAAGGAGACCTCTCCGACCCTATAAAGTATATATATTCTTGATCAGGATCACCTCCTTGGTTGATATAAGCATTTCCGTCTGTCCGTCTGTCTGTTTCTACGCAAACTAGTCTCTCAGTTTTAAAGATATCGAATTGAAACTTTGCACACACCCTTCTTTCCTTTGCACGCAGTATATATGTCGGAACGGCCGGGATCGGCCGACTATATCCTATAGCTGCCATATAACTGATTGATCGGAAATGCCATAACTTTGGTGTTTGTTAAGTTAGGAAGTTGGGATTTTCTATGGGTTTTATTTTTGGCCAATCAATCCGACCTACCGAATGTCATAAGGATCGGCCGAGTATATCCTATAGCTGCCATATAACTGAACAATCAGAAATGCCATAACTTAAAGTTAGGAAGTTGGGATTTGTTTTGAGTATTAAGAATGCATCATATGAATAATTTTGGAGAATATAATTTACAGAGTATTCTGCAAGGGTATATCAACTTCGGCTACGCCCGAAGCTAGCTTTCCTTTCTTGTTTAGAATGGTTTATAAACGAACGACTTTTTGAAAGGATGAGTTAATTTTTATTAATTTAATTTTTTCTTTGCTAAAATCATAACTTTTGAGTCAAACGAGACAATGAGCATTGCAAAAAATTCTGTATATGAAAAATACAAAAATAGAACTACAAAAGTTAAAAGTTAAAAAATTATTATTATTTTGTTACTGTAATTTGGTATAACCTTGCATCGGGTTTTGTTAATATCAGTCAAAATTTTGAAATGCATAGAAGGGCACACTTCCGACTAGTCAAAACTTATTTTTTGTTGCATGTATTATTTAACACGGAATGAGACAGATTGGCCTATTATATCATGTAGCTGTCATAGGAAAAATCGGGAAAAAATGGAAATTATAATTAAACTTAGTTGTTTTTTAACATATATCCATATATTCCAAGATGTAGTCATTTTTAACGATTTCAGAATTAAGGATCGAAAAATGCATTGGTTTTAGTCATCAAAATCGAAACATTGAATATTGAATTTTTATAACAGCTCGAGGATATAAAAACTTCGGTTTGCCGATATTTACTTCCTTTCTAATTTCATCTTTTTTTACTTAATTATTACAATTTGAAGAAGAAGTTTTATATAATATACTCATCATATCCGAACTATAATAATTTGATTTTAACTCTTCTTGTGATTTTGCATACCGCAGAGTAGAAATAAGGATATCGGAAGAAGTTGTTGGCTATGAAAAAAAGTTAATAAATAACATTTTTAATGAAACAAATTAAATTTTTTCCATATTTCTGAGAATTATTTTATATAGTTATATTTATAGTTTTATATAACTATAACATTTATAGTTTATATAACTATAACATTTATAGTTTATATAACTATAACACTTATAGTTTTATATAACATAACATTAAAAACAACTGCTAATGCTAATAATATTTTTTTTAATAGGCATATTTTTTTTAATTTTAACTATAACCCGTTACTCGTAAAGTTATAAAAATCCATTGTGTTCGTTGGAAAAATGCGTTTCCGCGCGCCAACATTTTGAAATAAACTTGCGCTGCGCAAGAAAGCCTTGAATCTTCATGCCTAATCCCAAATCTCTAGCTCTTATCGTTTCCGAGATATCGAAGGGTATATTTTATTCGTTGGAAAATATGTAACAGGTAGAAGGGAGCGTTTCCGACGCTATTCTTGATCAGGATCAATAGCCGATTAAGGCATGTCCGTATAAACGTAGAGATCTGCAAATCACTGCAAATACAGGAGGCTCACTCTTAAAGAATACAATAAGGCCTTCCTGACAGAGCACACGTCCTCGTGTGTTGTCGTCCAAGCGATATCCTTGAATTAATTTCTTTATGTTCGTTTTTATCGTATGTGATATTAAAGTATAATTGTCTCAAGGTAATAATACTTCATTCATTTTAAACAGATTTTTAAATATTGGGTGAAGCTAAGTTTAATTATTTATTTCACATCTAATGAACCGTGCAAATTCAGTTCCATTAAGGTGTGTTGCGGAAGGTCGTCCATTGCAGACAGCCTAGAGGTCCATTGGAAGACTAGTCGCAAAGATCCATTTATTTGGTTAGTACGCTTTTATCCACACCATGTCGTTTTTGTCACTTCACAAATTGATGATGACAGCTTGGTCTATTTTAGAATTATGGCGTATAGGATATAGGATAAGTCTTGATGATTCGTCCCCATGGTCAACTCAAAGCCGAAAGGGTATCTTCCTTAGCCAAAACCAGTAATCCTTCCCTCTCGTTTAGTGCTGCAGTTTCCACTTATGTAGAGCCTGAAGCTCCTGTAAGTATTCAGCTGCCCATTCGTTTTAGGACACGTGTTTCACTCTTGTCACCAACTAGACCCCAATAACGAAATGTCTTGGGGTCAGCGCTGGTGTATCCATGAGAGCGTTTGAGAATTCCCTTAAATTCTGCTATGAGTATATTTAGCTCCCCTAATGTTAGCGATGCTGTTGCCGTGGTCATGACAAGTTATATTTTTGGGGATTTCACCCAGCTTCCCATAGGCCTCCAAATAATGGTGCTCGTAGTGGGATGAATTTAAATTCAAAAAAATATAATTTTCTTATTCTTCTAAGGTGTTAGTTTGACACCTTCCGTAGCGGAACTGCCTTTGTGGAAAACAGCTAAATGCGATGATTAATGCCTTCTCTACCCTCTTTCCTCTTTACGATTTTGTAATTTATCCACAGGGGTTACAATAGTCTAGAGTGACTCTAGTATATCTTATACGGCTGCGAATGATGTTCTACGCCATGGTTTTATCTTTGAGAATCCAAAATTGTAGCAGCGTAATGTATATTTTCTCCGTGAAAATCCAGAAGAAAGCATTCTTACAATTGGTTCGTTTTACGGAAGTAATACTTAACGCTTTGAATTGTACAGAAGTAAAGATTTTTCTAGTCTCCTTCTGTTTCTGACTAGTTCAATTTCTCCAATTATGGAAGATAACGATGAGATGTTGCTTCCTTAGTCTACCGTCTGGTAACGCTTGGGAAATTCGAGATCAATTGAAAATTTTGCTTGTAATTCTCCAGCTGTTAGCGTTGGTGTTGGGGTTGGCGTCCTGTTGTTGCAGCTTGTGATATAAATTGATGTGTTTGCATAGTATATTTCCACCCCTATCGTGTTCGACACAACAGTTTTGATATATAGTTTTGTTTCTGCAGGAAAATATGACTAGTAATCTTTGTTGTGCTACTATCGGGGTTTAGCACACAGTGGTGGGATATAAAATAATGATCCCTCGTATTCTGTCATAAAGTCTAAAAACCCTTTCCAAAAGCTTCCATGAAGTTTTCTTTCTTGAGTTTTATACGACTTGTCACTCTTTCCGCTTGTTTTTATGAACCATTTTCCTATCAGAAACCATGCTTAACAAGAAAGGAAAGCTAACTTCGGGCGGAGCCGAAGTTGTACACCCTTGCCGAATATTCTGTAAATTATATTCTCCAAAATAAATCATATGATGCATTCTTAATACTCTCACAAAATCCCAACTTCCTAACTTTAAGTTATGGCATTTCTGATTGTTCAGTTATATGGCAGCTATAGGATATAGTCGCCCAATCCCGGCCGTTCCGACTTATATACTGCGTGCAAAGGAACGAAAGGTGTGTGCAAAGTTTCAATTCGATATCTTTAAAACTGAGAGACTAGTTTGCGTAGAAACAGACAGACGGACATGCTTATATCAACTCAGGACGCGATCCTGATCAAGAAGATATATACTTTATAGGGTCGGAGATGTCTCATTCACTGCGTTGCACACTTTTGACCAAAATTATAATACCCTCTGCAAGGGTATAAAAATTGATAATTTTATCCATTTTTCAAAAAACTTCGGGATGTTTTTTTATTAGCTGCACATCAGTGCTGATTGTGATAAATGCACTTGGCCATGAGTGTCTTCTGCACTTAATTATACTTCCGTTCGGCTTTTATATAGTAGCCTTTCTAAATTGCGTTGTCAAACTCTTCATAAATTCTCAAATGGACCTCTTGTATTTATGTTCAAAAAGAATTCTTTAAGTGTTGCCATATTTGTCTCAAGATATGAAGGCCTTTGCTTTCTGTCCGATTTATTCATTTTAATATTTACTTTGCAGAAACTCCAACAAAATTGGTCAAATAAACTTAACAGTCTTACATTGGAGCAATGTTTATTCAACACAGGGGTTTTTCCAAACTGCCGACGATAATGTATCGGAATCCAAATGGTTGTCCAATTTGGTCGCCTTGCTGACTAGTTTTTTTACTTTCCGAGTTGATTGGTCTCAAGTTCAAATGTCCTGGTTGGTTGACGCAACTAGCA